GGAGGGGGAGGGAGAGGGGGGTGTGTGGTGGAGGTGGGGGGAGAGATGTTATGTTGCTTCATGCCATGGCAAGATCTTGTGTATCTCCTGTGATCTATACATGTGAATGTGTGACTGGGCCAATATACAGGTGTCCGTTAATCATTAATATCAGTCATCAACAATCCAGGTCATGCCAAACGATTTTCGTAAACGAAAAATGTATAAAAATGAAGTTAAGATGTATTTTCGCGTATTAAACGCATATTTTCTTTTATGACATCCTGAAATATCTGTACTTCTTGCGTATGCACATATATTAATATTGCTTTTATGACATCCTGGGGCAGTATTCACTTTTAGAACACACAACACACGAGCAATTACATTGTAATTCATATTTTACACCAAAAAAACCCCAAAAACTGTCCCCAAACACAACAACCGATCCTAAACAATCAACCTAGAGCAATAAGCAGTTATGAATAACTGTACAGGACACACACACACACACACACACACACACACACACACACACACACACACACAGTACTATGTATCTGCAAAAGCTGCCACCCTGAGAGTATGAGTCATCTACTTCAGAAACATGACAAACAAACACAAACACAGAGTGTGTTGAAGCAAAGTTTGTGACATTTTCTCCTTGTCGTCCTTGCATAAAGTGCACGTATGTGAGAGAGAGAATCTTGTGGCGTCGGTGGCCTAGTGGGTTCGAATCCCGTCAGGGGCCCAACGTTGTGTCCTTGGGAAAGGCACTTTACACAAATTTTCCTCACTTCACTCAGTGGGAATGGGTACCCAGTTAGAGACAGTGAAAGATCTTGTCAGTTTGTAAGTGTTTGAGTGCTTAATCAGCTGCTTGCGCTGTATACTTCTCAGGAAGCTGAGAATGTTTCTGAGTGTTCTATGGTCTGTTGGGGGTAATAATATAGTGTGTAAAGCGCACAGAGCTTGCTGTAGAGCGGGCTTATGCGCTGTATAGATGCTATTTGTTATCATTATTATTATTAGAAATATTGAATTACACAACTGCGTAAACGTCAGGAAATACTGTCCTTGAATAAAACAATAGGGGGGGGGGGGAATGTCTGGCAACGTCCTTGTACAAATAACCGAAGCTAACATGAAGAAATGTTCTTGATTAAAATAATGAAGATAAATTAGACAGGAAAATAATGTTCTGAAATAAAGCATATGAGGCAGACATGAAAAAAATGTTCTTGAATAAGCAATTGAGATATAAATAAGAAGAGAAAATATTCTTAAATACGACAATTGAGAAAAATATGAAAAAATGTAGTTCTTGATTAAGATTAATAAGATAAAAATATGAGAAATGCAGTTCTTGAACATGAGAACTGGGATAAATGTGATAAAATGTAGTTGTTGATCATGAGAACTGAGATAAATAAGATAAAATGTAGTTCTTGAATAAGTAACTGAGATAAATATGAGGAAAAGTTTTAATCAATAAAACAGTAGAGTCAAGTACTGAACAGACGAACCAGACATAATCTGGGATGGTACGAGTTCAAAGCTTCTTTCAACTCGGTGAGATTATTGAAGAGGAAGCGAACCAGAGACGGTCACAACAGTTTTGACAAAGGTCTATCTCAAGTTTCCATACCAGACACCGAGCACTACATCTACTCATAATCAAGTGCCAGATCTGCGAGAGACATCAGCTATGATGGTTCTCCATTCATTCCTTTGCTTGGATACTCTCAAAACAGCAGCTACATTTTCCTGATCTTTCCCCCATCACCTATCAGTTCAGGCTTTCCCAGTAAGTTGCTCTGTGTCTACCCCTGCCTCCTACTCAACTCGTATGATTTCCTCTTACTCAGTGAAAGCTAGATGTGACGGGCGCTTACGTCGATAAGAGTCCCAGAAACTATATTTGCCTTTTTCTGACTGTTTTTATCAGCCAGTGGACCACTCGGGTTCTTCGAGTACCACTTTCTTTGACTTCTTTACCTTCTTTGGAATTCTCAACAGTCTCCAAAGAAATTATATTTCTGTTGCTTTTATATTCTACTAAATAATAACATAAAAAAAGAAGAATCCAAAGGATTAAAAACTTCGGGAACATTGTTTACTGACCATAATCCCCCCCCCCCCTGAACTCAGGTAAAAGACTAACAACGTCCACTTCTGACTCTCCAACAGAAAAACTATCCCTCTGCCCAACTGGTTATTGAAACTTTACTTTTTCCCCCTCCAACCAAAGCCACAAAACACAATGTGTGGCGTAATCGCCATGTCAGTTCACGTCCAGTTGGACAGTCACAAGGCTAAAGTCCAGCATGCACAACAATGACGAGAGAGAGAGAGAGAGAGAAAAAAACAAATCTCCTGACTACACCTCACATCAGCCAGAACACTCGACCAGAACGAGAAACAGTTATGGTACATCCAGCCCCCAATGTTAGTCACTGCTCCAAAACATAATATACGAGTACCGTAACTTGAACTGGTTAAGTAAGGAATTCTTTGTAATAATATTCCATTATTCCATACAACTGGTTATTTGTTACCTTTCTGAGTAATTACAATAAATAGAACTTGTTACAAAACGTTTTGAAGACAACAGTAAAGTTGTTATGATGATAATGTCTTTCACAAGCACAAGTTATGAAGCTCTTTGCATTATAACTATTTACTGCTAGTTAATAAAAGTATTTATTTACATAATTTCTACTTCTAACTTATGTTATCATACGGAACTTTATATCACTATTCACATTTTGAACTCGCTTCGGCGTTCTTTATAATCACTTAACGTGACTTAAAATTACATAAGTCAATGTGTTCCCTCACTGGTTAGTAACACTGAACAGCACATTATTTTGATCTACACAACTATAATATTACCGAACAGGATACTATTGTTTTGTAGAAAAATTAATTCTAATCAGAATAAAGAAGACAAAACAAAAAGCAGAGACGGATGAACATCCATTCTGGGACACTCACAAGACAACAGACACATTTGTGACCGGGAAGCGACACACAGTCTGTGCGTAACACATGGTCAAGGTGTGACACAACGGCCAAAGCGTGACACACATCAAGGCGTGATGTTCTCTTCACATCAGACATTTTCAGAGAGTGGAAACACTGCCAAGCACTTTTAAATCCACTTCTAAAGAAGTGCTAGATTACACATTTAAAAATCATGCATTTTTTTGAGGAAGGTAAAGCTATTGTCTAAAATATATTCAGTAAATTAACATAAGTGTTTTGCTGTTCACTAATAGTAATGAATAGTACATTTAAGAATTTAAAAGAAAAAAATTTTTTTAACTGAAAATGTACTCTTATTTCCTTTCTTCGACAACCTAGAGATTAAATTTTTTAATATTCCAATCTGTGAGGGAAAAAAATGACATGAGAACAAAATGCTTATTTAGTGCTGCCCGTCTAAACGCAGAGTGACATCTTGAGAGAAGCCATAGATCTATATTTCTTACAAAACCCTGAATATGTTTATCTTATTTCTTTTCTTCCACGACCTACAGATTAAAATTTGTAAATAATTCCAATCTGTGAGGGGAGAAAATGACACGAGAACAATTAATGCTTTGGGTGCAGCACGTCTAAATGCGGACTGGCATCTAGAGAGAAGCCGTACATTCCTTTTAAAGAACCTGAAAAAGTGTATCTTATTCCTTTTCTTCGACCAACTGTACTATGGACTTAAACTTTTCATAATTCCAATCTGCGAGGGGAGAAAATGACATGAGAACAAATGCTTTAGGTGCTGCACGTCTAAACGCGGCGTGACATCTAGAGAGAAGCCGTACATTCCTGCACTACACACTCATGTCTACCGGCACAATGCCGTAAAGTAACCCCGTCCACACACTCAGAGGAGAGGAGAGGGCTGACGGGAGATGCAAAAAGCTTCAAAAACATGACACAGGAAAGAAACAAAAAAAACCCAGCGTGGGTTGGGGGCGGGGGTGGGGGAAGAAAAAAAAAGGGAACAACATCCTTCTGTGAGCACTCACTGATTGGTCTGCGGATTCCGACACCTGATTTGTCTACAGGAAGAAACGAGGAGGGGGAAATGTACAACACACACTGACAACAACAACAACGCACTGACAACAGCATAACTATAAAACAAGACTTGTTTAAACTTAATAATAATAATATATACTCAAACATAATGATATACACAGTGAGAATATCAACGTAAGTTTCTGCACAATATCTAAAACAACTAGATGAACTCAGTGATGACAAGCAGCGCTGAACGTCCAGTGACATCGGAGCTGAAGTCCACCAGAACAAAGACAGAAAAACATGGCACGGGAAAAGATGTTCATGGCACGGGAAAAGATGTTCATGGCACGGGAAAAGATGTTACGTAGATCTTTCTAATCTAACATAGAAATGTATACTAACTTTTCAATCTTAATTGAAAAAACCCATTCATTTTGCCATTTGAAAATGAAATGTTGAAATTTTCACTAAAAAGAAAATTGATTTAGCCATTTGAAAATGTTAAACTTTTCCTTGAAAAGCATTTTTATCTTTCCATTCGAAAATGTCCAACTTTTCACTGAAAAGTACAGTCATTTTGCAACTCCGAGAGTGTTCAACCTCAGGAAAATTAATTTGCCTATAAAACTAGAAAGCAACTTTTCATCGTTCAATTTTCAAAAGACTTCAGCTCCAATTTCACCGAACACTCAGCAGACAGCCACAAAGATCTCATGAATTGTGAGCCGCAAACATAACATCTGCTGAACAAAAGTAGTACGCTGACGAAAAAACCTTGTACAAACAACACAATAAATAACTCATGTCACTTCGTCGTCACAAAACAAGAATCCGGATCAGCATGGAAATCAAGAAGACACCGACAAAATCACTACGGTATCACAAACAACCAACAACTCAGTGGCAAGCCTGGAGCATATACCATCACTGTAATAACAACAAAAACAAAAAAAATCCCCCCCCCCCCAAAAAAAAAACACCAACAAAAAAAAACAACCCATCATCACAAGACAAAGAGACAAAGAAGAAAAAACAGTCGACACTCCACCACTCAAGAAGCTGAAGCAGCCAGAGACAAAACATACCAGGAGAACAAAGAAAAAATTCAAGGAAGAACATGTACACACTCACACATACACACAAACAAACAAACAAAAACACCGACCAAAGACTGAAATACGGACAGAAAAGTGAAAATCCAAACAGACATCCATTTAGAGTCAATATGTGTCACGACGCGGTAGAATCAGCCGCTCCTCAATATTTGGTAATGTGGAGTTATTGGTATCATTGAAAAGCTTATTCATTTGCAGCACTTTCAAGAAAAAAGTACTCGTCTATTTTGAAAAGAAGTCGAAGTATTTGAGATCGAAGGAGGTGGGGGTCACCTGCTTTCAGTGGTAAAGTTACCGAGAAAATGGTCGACTAAGTTCGGTAACTTCAATAGCTTGAAAGTCTTTGAAAACTGAAAAATTACCTATTTTGTGCCTTTAATTAAAATTAATCAACATTTTCGAGTCTATTCACATAGAAATGTGTTTTACATGGACATTAAAGGTGTTGAGCCAAAAAGCAAAAATTAGATAAAAATTGCCAAAATGGCGACAAAATGCTCGTTTCTTCTTTTTCATTACTTTGGCGAGCGCCTGATTTCACCACAAAGCCTCACATATTAGAAACTAAAATATTCAATAGATAATTAAGTCCAACCTAAAACTTAAGAAGAAAAAAAATGCTCCCTTTCAGCTGACTCAAGAAGGCAGAGTTCTAGATCTGCCATCTCAATACAGAAAAAGAATTCTCAAATTCCCAGCATGAGCAGAAGAAAAAGAAACATTGATGTTCCTTATCAACTGATAAATCTTGAGATTGAATTAAAAAAACACATCCATAAGATGAAGCGCAACTTCAGGATCTCCCGTGATAATGGCAAAGACAAACGTGACAGAGATCATCCACATACAGGAGAACAATGAATAGAAACACGAAAATTTTTTAAAAAAATTACAGGAACACAAAATTGACGAGATTCCAGGAATTCTCTCAAAAGTGGTGGAAATTCCAGGAACTCAAGGAAAAGAGGCAGTCCAACCTAGGTGAAACAATGTCCGTTATACATTCACATCAACATAGCACACAGAGATTGCACAACAATATATATAAATTTATATATAAAAAGTGAGGAACAAATAAATAACAGTTGTGAAGTTTCTGTAATAATGCGAGTGAGTGTTCCTGTGTGTGTGTGAGCGCGCGTGTGTGTGTGTGTGTGCAAGTGCGCATACATGTATTTGTGTGCGTGAGAGACTGAGTATGTATGTGTATGTATATGTGCGTGCATGTAAGTGCGCATACATGTATTTGCGTGTGTGAGAGACTGAGTATGCATATGTGTGTATGTGTCCGCCCATGTGCGTATATGTATGTATGTACCTGGTTGTCGTGAGCGCTCCCTGAAGTCCAGCTCCAGTCTGGCCTGTCTATCCTCCAGCTCCAGTTCTTTGGCCCTGCGTGAGGAGAACAGAGAGAACAGGGAAACTCAGCGCATGTCACATCATACAGACCTGCCACTCTATGAAATCTAAAAATCAGGATTTCTGAGTTTAAAAAATCAGGATCTGGTGAAAAAAATCGGGATCAACGGCAAATCAGTCATAAAGGGCATCGCGGGGGGGAGGGGGGTCCTGGTTCCCTTTTATGAGGCAAGTATGCAAGACAAAACTTTTGCAGGAACAGGTTTCTAAGAATCGGACGCAACAGACGCAACGACAAAAATCAGGATACCAGCCATAGAAATCGGGAAAATCGGGATGTTTGAGATTTGGGACAAAAAATCGGGATATGACATCATCCATTCAGCCCACATCACACATCCACCCAGGATGCTTTTCCCACACAAAGCCACCTTTTTCCCGGAATGTCTACTACAGACACCGAGTGACCGCAGTCAACATTTCAACAACATCAGTTTCCGCTAACTCTCTCTCTCTCTCTCTTCTGGCGCTGTGGCTTCATAAACGGTCAGCGATGCCAACAGCATGCAGGACTCAACACTCGCCCGGGGGTCCTTGAAAAGTGCTGAAAGTGGGTTACTGAAATGTCCCAGCAGACGGGTTCTAGAACGATAGCTGGCGGGACATCTCAGGAACACATGGTCCATAGTTTCGTCCTCCTCCTTGCAGGCTCGACAGGACGGATCTAACTCTGACACTTGGCAGGCCCGTACTGGTGCTGTCCAAAGAACAATGAGTAACTAACCTTTGACCCTGCTTTACAGGGTGAGGGAAAATTGTTTTCTAAAATTAGATGCTACTAATATTTCTTTCCTTACTTTTTCATCCTCTGTTGCCATTAAGTGACGAGGGGAGATGCAGTTTTCTATGGTAGGCCAGCTCCACAGCTCTTTAGTAATGATATTGTTTGTTTTCTCAGAGTTTCCTGGACACCCATTTATCAACCTTTAGCGTGGCCTTGCTCTTCCTTTATAGCCTGAGTTGTAGGCTCTCGAGGCTGGCTGGCCATATGGCATATGTAACAGGTAGTCAAACCATTTTATTGTTTGTCTTTCTATGAAATGCAGGCAGGACTCGGTGCCAAAAGCTGCTGTAACAGTGATAATGTCTTCCTTACTTACTTTACCGATCCAGCAGTCATTTGAGCTCTTGCCCTTAGACTCGATGTCATGACCCCACAAAAAAGGGATGTCTTCCAAAGTTGCCAAAGGTTTGAATACAAAAAATGTCTTGAAGAACAGTTATCAGCATCGCTCCTTACCTAACATTGAGCTCCGACTCGTAGCGGAGTAGAGCGTTCTTCTCGTGCACCAGCGTGAACCACTCGCTCATCAGCTGACTCTCGTCCACGTCCTCATCTGTGGGCACAGAGAGAAAACAAGTAGAGAAAACAAGTAGAGAAAACAAGCAGAGAAAACAAGTAGAGAAAACAAGAAGAGAAAACAAGAAGAGAAAACAAGTAGAGAAAACAAGAAGAGAAAACAAGAAGAGAAAACAAGTAGAGAAAACAAGTAGAGAAAACAAGTAGAGAAAACAAGTAGAGAAAACAAGAAGAGAAAACAAGAAGAGAAAACAAGTAGAGAAATTATAGGAAGAACACTTGTAAACTCAGCTACATACCTACCTATAGTAAAACAATTACGTTATGCCAGTCATTTCATACATGATGCCAATCTTTTCATACAATCTGTCAATTATTTCATACATTCTGTCAATCACTCACACACACTCCCACATCCACACCCACACATACACCCCCACACACACTCACCTGCCCCGTCCCCCCGTAAAGCTTTCTCCACAGTGATTCCCCTCTCCTCCAGCTCTCTCTGCCTGACTTCCACCTCCTCCAGCTGTCTCTGGATCTCCTGCGCCATCCTCAGCCTCTTCTGCTCAGCCTGCCTCTGCTGCTTCAGCTGCAGCCGACGGAGACGACGCGCCACTCGCTCGTCCAGATCCTCCTCCTGGTGGGGACCGAAACAATCATTTCATCAATCATCCTCTTTACACAATCATCCTTTTTACGTCATCTTCACACAATCAAATCAACCTTTTTACATCCTCTTTTTCACACAAACATGCTTTTACAATCTTTTTTTCACACAATTATCCTTTTTACACAATTACCCTATTCAAACAATCATCTTCTTCACAAAATCATCCTCTTCACAAAATCATCCTCTTCAAACAATCATCCTCTTCACATAATCATCCTTTATATACAATTATCCTCTTCACACAATCATCCTTTTTACACAATCATCCTTTATATACAATCAACCTTTTTACATCCTTTTCACACATTCATCCTCTTCACATAATCATCTTTTTTTTTACACCAATGGCTGAGTGCAAGACTCCAATAAACACCAAAGTGCAAAATGAACTTTGTCAGAGTTGTAATCTGAATCAATTCAGCTACACAAAAAGAGCACATGACACAATCATCTGACATAAAACATACTCTGAGAAAAACGACACATGCTTTTTCTTGATATTTCACCTGAAATGCCGACCGGACAATCAATGATTGGCACAAAACAACTCAATATGACAGGTGGCAGAAGCCACCAAATGAAAAAAAGGAATGTCCTTTCCAAGACTTTCCATATGTCACACAAGATAAAGCCAACAGAAAAAATCCCATACCCGTCTTCTCTGCATAGTGGAAATAGAAATATGGCTTTCATCGGAATCGGACAGCTCGTCTCCTGAGAAACAAAAAAGAAACAATTGAGGTCTTTGTCTGAAAAAATTGCACTAACTTTATATAACAGCTTTATAGGGGAACAAAATTATAACTGTCTTCTGAGGTATAATCATTAGGTTCTTCATCTTGCCCGCTTAAATCTGGGGTTTGATTTAAGCAAGCGAATATTGGACTGTAATATAATTCTAAATTTGATAGCATAGTGAGAAAACAATAAAACAAAATTTTGGTATTTTTCAGTAAAATACGCTCATTCAACAAAACAACAGCACTACTTCTGAGTGGCAAGTAGAGAACAGTGACAGCCAAGACTCACCGCTGGCTTTGGGAGCGAGAGGCACCGTCCGTCTGACTGCGCTGCCACCTGCCAGCGGCTGAGACTGCCGATTGGACGCCTCCGAGTGGAACACGGAGCAGATCGCCAGGTCTCGCCTGCCTTCTGCCGTCGGCGTTCTGTCAAAGTCCTGTCTGGCGTCAACTTTATCTTTGCCCTTCTTCTCCTTCTTCTTATTCGCTTTGGGAATTTTGCTTTTCTTTTTGCTCTTGGAGTTGTCGTCGCTTCCTTTGGGCGTGTTGTCGGAGTCGGTGGTGGCCCTGTGACCTTTCTCAGGAGCTTTGGTCGGGAGAATCAGCGCCAGCAACGACTTACGCTTATCCTTCTTTTCCACGTCGTCGGAATCTTTCTCCTTGGAGTCTTTGGCTTTCTTTTCTTTGGGGGTTTTGGGCGTCTTGGGCGTCTTGACCTTCTTCTTGCCTTTCTTCCCGGCCGCCTTTTGTGGGGGTTCTCCCTCCGTGGCGCTGGAGGTGAGGGACGGGACGGAGGAGATCCGGTCATCCCCGCTGTCGCTGACCACATCGCTGGTGCTGGGCGTGTCGTACGAGGAACTGCGGTGACCTCGCTCCGCCTCACGAACGGCCGCCGACCGGAGGTGGCGTGGTTTGATCGGGGTTGTGTGGTGACTCGGGCTAGTCGGGGTGGACAGACCCAGCTCTTCGTCACTCTTCAACCGCGCGCGCTCCCGGGCCTGCAGCTTGGCTTTTTCTCTGTCGGCGTTCCGAATTTCTCGGATCTGCTCGGCACTGAGGACAGCTGGCTCCGCCTTCTCCGCAGCGGGCGGACTGGGCAGCAGACGTTTCTTGGCCGCGGCGTCGGCATGGAGCATACCCGGAAACACAGGCCTCTCCTGTTTCCCCGGATCGTGCGGCGTGTAGAACTTCTCTTCCGCCTCGCTTTCATCAGCAAAAGGAATGTCCTCCAGAACATTCCCGATGACAATACCTTCCGTCGAGATCTTTTTCTTTCCCTCTGGCTCCAAGTCCGAGTCTGTACATTCTGTGGAGGAGCCAAGCCTGAGTTTGGATTTGTCCAGCGGGACCACGGTTTTGCCTGGCGGTCGAAACACCGGGGGAGTGATGGGTTTGGCGAACGTGGAGTTCAGACCGGGTTTTGTGGAGGCTATGGAGGAGGAGGCGGGGGTTCCTGACTTTGTGAGGGGAAGTTTGGACAAGTTGCTGGGCTGGGGAAGGGCGCGACTGACACGCGTCTGCTGCTGTGAGACAGACTGAGGCCCAGCCACGACGCCTCTGCTGGCTGGTTTGGGCGATGAACACATGGCTGGTGGGTCCACGGTGCGACCTGACGGAACAGGCGTTTGTCGAGACGGGACGTTCAGTTTGGGAAGTTCTGGCAGTTTTCGCGGAGATTTCGTTCCGGAAGGAGAAGAGTCTTTGGCTCGCGGGGACACTAACAGTTTTTTGTCCGATGCTGTTGTGGTTGTGGTTGGTTTTGAGGCAGACCGCGGTGCAGCTGCTGCCCGTTTGTCTGTCGCGTGTGCAGACACGTTCTTTGCCAGCGGCGACTCGGGGAAGCTCTCCACTGGAGAGAGGAAGATCTCGCTGCCAGAGGACTCCCTCTGGTCATTCCGCGACGGAGTATTTAGGGACAGGGGCGAGCGCGGGGTGGGGGTGGGGCTGGGCTCCTTGTTCCACGTGGAGTTGACCAACGGAGAGGCAGGGGAAGACGAGGCCACGGGCTTGGGCTGTTGGGGGGTGTCTGTCTTTTGGCGCGGGAGGGGCAGGGGCCTCCGGGTGACGACGGGACTAGAAGCGGAGGCCAGGGGAGCTGGCGGTTGCTGACTGCCACTCTCGTTGACGCTGGCGTCGGGCGTAGCGTAGAAACTACTGCTGTCGGTGGTGATAGAGGAGTGACCTTCACGTCGACTCACCTCACTACTCTCACTCTCCGCGACAGGGGCCGCTTCAACCGACGGTTTGTCAAAGTGAAGGTCGTCGATTTTATCCACTTGGAGGTCATTGTCTTCCGTCACTGCAGCAGAAACGCCTTCACCCTGATCCTCATGGTCACCCTGGTCATCGGAATACGACTCCCCCAACACCAAACTCATAGTGGTCTGGTAGTCTCGAAGCATTTCAGCATCTGGCTTCATGTCGTCGTCACCCGGCTCCACATCCAGAATTTTGCCGGCAAACTCGTCCACTTCCACCGAGCTCACGGACAACTCCGATCCGCTTGGGGTCGAGATGGAAAAGCTCGAGTTGAACTCCGAATCACCAGGTTTGACCACTTTCTTACCTCCTTTCTTGACAGTTGGTGGTGTGGCTTTCTTCTTCTTCCTCCTTGACCGGCGGTCAGTGACGAACCGTTCGTCCACATTTTTTAGGACCAGTTCGTCAATGTCAGAGTTGTCGGACAAGTCTGGCATGGCCGCTATACTCTCCAACACCTGCTGCAGGGTGTCTGTGTCGCCGTTCGTCGGCATTGTGTCAAGGTCAGAGACCTCCGGTTCAGCCAGGCAAGCTGGAGCGAGGGAGCCACTTCCCTTCCCTACGCTGGCACTAGCGGCAGCATCGATAACTTTCGTCACACCTAAAGATTTCTGAGGAGTTTGCGCCTCATCTTCGTCCTCCTCCTTCGTGGCTGATCTCCGACTTTCTTCCCCAGCAGAAACCTCTTTCACAGACGACAACTGCTGCTCTAGATCTTCCTGTTTATTCATCTGTAACCGACCCAGTGGAGAAGGTTCCTTCTTCGCCCCTTCCCTATCGACAGAACCAGGCGGCGAGGCTTCTTTCACCTTTAACCTCGTGTCATCGATGTCAGCGCTGGGACTGCGAGACATGGAAGACTGGGGGCGGGAGTTATCGGTGGTGGTGGGCTCTGTGCGGCCGGCCTCGCTCTCGCTGGTGGTCATCAGGCTGCTGGACCGCCTCCGACCGTTGGACCTGCGGGCCGCTCGCTTCATGCGGAACTTGCGGGTCTTGCTGGCGCTGGGACTGTGCCGGCCCTCGATGTACGCCTCGTTGTCTCCAGAGTCAGACGTGTCAGCGCCCGCAGGTTCGGTGGAGGAATCTTTGGAGAAACTTTTGTGGTCAATGTCCAGAAGCAACTGCTCCATGGCACGGCTGACCGCAGTCTTCTCCATCAACTCATCCTCCTCCTCTTCCTCGCCCTTCTCATCCCTCTCATCATCCCCATCACTCCCTTTATCCCGGTCGTCTCCTCCCTCCTCCTCTTCATCCATCAAGTCCTCGCTTTCCACTTTGACCATTTTGAGCTGAGAGCTCGACTCCCTGCCTCCTACTTTCCCCGACTCAACACTATCCACACTTTTGCTCCGTCTGTTTCTATCCCCGGTCAGCTCTTCTTCCAACAACTCTGACTCCAAATCTTCCCTCAACTCGTCCAAGGACCCCGCACCGCGGTCTCTCTCCAGCACACTCTCCGAACTCTTCAAGTCAAGCTCCAAGCTCTCCGAGGCGTCCGTATCCTTCGAGGACATGTCCTCTTTCCGGCTATCTTCCGACTTTTTCTTCGAGCGCCGACTCCCGGACGACAGAGTGTCCACCGACTTCTTCCGCTCCTCTGCCGCCCCGGCCGCCTTCTTGCCGATCCCGAACATGCTCCAGGGGTCAAGGCTAACCACGGTGGGCGGCTCCGAGAAGAAACTGGCCTTGCTGGCGGAGAGTCGCGCCATGGGGCTGGAGGGTGTCCGCGAGTCCTCTGTTATGTCCTCCGGGGACACGCCCAATGCTGGCTCTGTCTTGTCCTCGTCACTGTCCTCACTCTCAGAACTGTCATCTGTCTCCTCATCCGAGTCTGCTGGAGAGAAAAGACAAATTTTAATGAGATAAAGGATAAAACAAACAAGATAAAGGATAAAACAAACAAGATAAAGGTTAAAACAAACAAGATAAGGGTTAAAACAATATCTACAAGTCTTGTACCCTGCATAGAGCTTGCTGTTGAGCGGGAATTTGCACTATACAATTGCCATTATTGTTATCATTATTATTATATGTGAGGCATCATGGTGGAATCAGGCTCTCGTCAAATTTTGAACATATAGAGTTGTTGGTACCATCTTAAAGATTGTTCACTTGGTTGTTTTTTTAATGAAAAAAAATATCCATTTACCTTAAATACAAGTCGAGATATTTGCGAAAGAAGGAGGTGGGGGTCACCTGCTTTCAGAGGTAAAATTAGTGAGAAAATGGCGGCCAAAGGTTAGTTATTTCCTCAGCTGAAGAGTCCGTGGTCACTGAAGGTTTACTTTTTCTGTGCCTTTAAGAAACATTTGTCAGAAAAATCCACACAGAAATGAGTTCTTTAAAGGGCATGAAAGGGGTTGAGCCAAAACCAAAAAAATTAATAAAAATTCACAAACCGGCAGAAAAATGCAAGTTTCTTCATTTTGATTAGTTTGACGAGAGCCTGATTCCACCACCCTGCCTCACATATTGTAATGATTAGGTTTATTATTACCTCCAGCATAAGGCAAAAACACAAGATCACAGACTTTCTAGCAGTCAGAATGCTTCAATCCAATTGACCATCTCAATCCATGGGAGACATAGATTATGCCCCACCTTCCCTCTCCAAAAGAAAATGTTTTCCAATGACAGAAACACAAAGAGAGCACAAAAATCAAGTTAAAAAATAGTGTAAAAAGCTGAGGGGGGGGGGGGTTGAGGGTCAAGAATGATCTAGAAATCTTTTACATATTGTAGCTGCTGCAAGCAATCTACTTAAGTCCACATTTTGGGTGTTTTCGATTTTTGACACCCTCTCAGAGATCTATCAAAGATGCATCTTTCAACATGACCAAAATGCAGTTAAATGCTATTGTCAAGGCTTACATTTTTTTTTTTGCTCTTTATAATTCTTGAAAGGAACAACACAACAAAAACTAGGTTGTTTTTTTTTTGTCTCCGACGTAAAAAGTACCCAAACGGACTTCAGCAGACTGCTTGCTGCATCTACATTATGATCAGCAATCCATCACTTCCTCTCCTCACCCCCTCCCCTCCCTCCTCCCAGTCCCCCTCCTCCCTCACCTCACCTCCCCCTCCCTCCCCCCTCACCTCCATCATCCTCCACCTCAGTAGACGAGCCCTCATCTCTCGCGGCATCGTCTCCCAGTAGTCGCGTGTATCCTTGACCCCGTGATGGCGTGCGGTCCTCGTTGTCCACAGCTTCCAGCAGGTCCTCCTGCGAGTGCTGGCGTCGCCAGGTACCCACCAGCTGGCAAGCTTCCTCCAGGGTGAGCGGACTGCCTGGCGTGTTGAGCGACTCCACCGCGTTCTCCCACACCTCATCCTCTGCGCCCGACCTGGGGGGAAACAACGGTCAGTTGGTTTTAGTTTTCGTAACTTGCAACACAATAAGGTCTCATAAGTGCCGAAGACTAGAAGTGTTACAAGAGAATAACAAACACAAAACAGAAGGAGGAGGAGAGATAAGGAAAGTTTTGATAGGAAAGTTTTTGTTTTACGGCACTTGCTACACAATAAAGTCATATAGAAGTGCCGAAGATTAGACGTATTACAAGAGAGTAACATACACAAAAAAAGAAAGAGGAGAGATAGTTTTAGTAAGAGTTTCGCAGTATTTGCAACACAATAAAGTCATAGATAAGTGCCGAAGAATAGATGTATTACAAGAGAGTAACATTCACAAAAAAGGAGGAGAGATAAGGACGACAGATGTTTGATGGGAAAGAAGGAGCAAACCACACCAGAGCACTCGCCAACCACCCACAACAACAATCATTTTGTGCTGGGGAAAAAAAGAGCAAGACAAACAGACAGGCAGAGAGAAAAAAAAAATCTAACTTTAAAAGTTTTATGCTCCTACTGGCAGAATTTAGATCATTTAGGAGGAGAGGGGGGGGGGGGTGCAACGACGCACACCAATCAGCTGAGAGTTATTAGAGTATTCGAGTTACACACAATCACACTGACAGAACAATCATTTTGTACTTGGGGAAAAAAAGAAGACAAACAGACACAAAAAAATTGTCATTGAAGAAGTTTTAAGGCTCTAGCTACACTGCATAACTAAAGAAAGTTTTGGATTGGAACCCACAGGGCAAGAGATCAAGGGGAAGACCTCGTGGAACTTGGAGAAGAATCACAGAAATCGATGTACAGAAAAGTGGGAAGACATGGAAAAACATCAAGAGGTTAGCCCAGGATAGAGAAAAGTGGAGGGTGTTTGTCCGTGGCCTATACCCTGATGCAGGGTGAGAAAGGCAATGATGATGATGATAACGATACACAATTTAGATCATTTAGAAGGGGTGGGGGGCGGCTGCTTTGACTCTTGTTTGTTTTTGTAAAGTGTTTTACGGCGCTCGCAACTGCATAAAGTCATATGAGCGCGCGGGACACACCTAATATTTTCAGTTGGTAGGAAATTTTGAATTTTGCTCGGGTGGCGGCCGAAGCCTACTCTTATTGATTTTAGACCACCAAGGAATCTTTAACGTGCGCAACTTGCACACGGGCCCTCCGAGATTTTTCGCCCTTGTCCGAGAAGGCTAGGTGTAGATCTTTCCTACCAGAAGATCAGGGGTGTGACTGAAAGACAGCAGTAAGGAGGGGCCAAGGAGTAGCAGTAGAAAGGCTGCAGAAAGAGTCAGGAGCCCAGAGGAGGGGGCAAAGGAGGTGAGGGGGTGGAGGCAGAAAGTGGAAATGAAAGCAGACAACAGAACATTGCTAAAGAGCAGGAAAGGAGGTGAAAGGTGACAATTTTAGAGAAGAAAATTTTTTGGTCGCTATCCGGATTCGAACCCGGGACCTTTGAATGAGAAGCCAACACCTTAACCTCTAGGCCACGAGAGCCCCCTGCTTTGACTCTGCTGGACAGACAAAAGCAACAGAGGAATAGATAGGAGATAAGACCAGCCAGTAGCATCCACTGACTAATCAGACACAAGCTAAGGAACTTGTTAAATAGTATCTTGTTTGAGGGAAAGATCAGGAAACCAATGATAGTAAACCATTTACAATCTCACAATATTTCATTTAGATAATTCAAAAGACAAACTGGATTGTTCCGATCTGTCAGGGCCAAATTGGGCTGATGTTGGAAATGGTAAGACAGACAGACAGACAGACAGACAGACAAGGTCTGCTTCAACTATCAAGGCACCCCGGAAATAGCAGGTCACAAGGGAGTGACAAACATACAAAAGAAGTACAGGAAAAGGACAATAGTAAGGATCAGGAAAGAAAAAGCAGCAGTTCCCTGTTGTAGATCAGGCACAGTTATGAGCGTGACATGATGAATCAGCCCATTTACAATTCTACTATGCCTGAACGAGAAATGTCCCCCCTTTGGGAATGGCCTAAAGATACTTCAGTCAGTGGCACTGCCCTGGGGGGTAGTTAAAATAGTTTGTACGAAGCTTTTCCAAGCAATCAGTGCCATAGAATAAGCAAAAATTTAGATGACAGACAGAAATAAAGGTGTAAAAAATGAGTCGGGCGTGCTGGCCTTCGACAAGTCACAATGAGAACAGTCATAGTCCCCTGGTACACTTGGGCACAAAGGGATACGGGAAGAGAGAGAGTAGACGATCATTTTTCTGCTTCCACTGAAGTGAAAGGTAATCCTAACACCCCACACAAACCCTAGAAATACTGATTAAATACACACAAGACCCAGCTTTAACTCTTTGACGACGTAGCGGACACATACGTCCGATTAGCAGCAGAGCGAAGACAATATTTCGGTACATTTCGAACAATCATACACATATCAGAAACACGAGTTTTCATATTTCATGGCATGCATATTGATATATGCCTTTTAACATTTCAAATAGAGAAAACAACCAAAAAAATATGTTTCAATGATAAAGTTACGCCCCAAAACAGCACATCTTCACACATTGTCGAATGACCAGAATGCGTGTCTTCATGGAGTTCATCAAATCATGGAATCAATTCAGCGGGCTCCCTACTATTCTTTTTCAGAATACATTATACTAACTGTCCCCATGGTTTATGCACCCCGCATAATTTAGCAAAATTTGATCATTTTTTGCACAATTTCTGATGATTTTTCCTTTATCGTGCTTTGTTAAAATTAATAGAATCGCATAATTTCACATTTTTGGGCTCATTTAGCATAATTTCAGAATTTTTCTTGCATAAAACGACGGGGACGGATTATACATGCTCAAAAAGGAAAAACACTTTTATTTATAGTCTTTAAAATCACTGATCATATTCCAAATTTAAGTTGAATCAATTTTGATGAAACACAGTTCCCACAACTGAGAGAGGGCAAAGAAAATGCTGGAAGATCTTTGGCTAAGACACGGTAAGCCTTGAAATTCTGATAAAATATTTAAAAAGAACATAATTCTTAAACAAGCAACTTTTAATCTCAGTAAGAAAATAAATTAATGCCGACATGCACAAAAGTCAGTAATATAACATCAGAGACTGGACGATAGCACATCACTAGGCAATGCGAGCCACTGGGGTGCAGTAGCTTTTTTTAGCATGACTCGTTGTGTCTCACTCAAGGACACACTTCAGTGACCAGTGACCACCCACTCAAACTTGGCGTCAACAACATTGCTTGACGTCATTTGTCAACCTGAGCTCTCCAACTACTCAGCCCCAATGAGACAGATAGCCCAATGTGACAGATAGCCCAATGAGACAGATAGCCCAATGTGACAGATAGCCCAATGTGCACAATGTGACAGATAGCCCAATATGACAGATAGCCCAATGTGCACAATGTGACAGATAGCCCAATGTGCACAATGTGACAGATAGCCCAATGTGATAGATGGCCCTCGCACCCACTGAGAAACAGATCTCTGTGAAACTCTAAAACCCACTTCTAAATTTCAGTGATGTACAATCCTTTTCACGAGAAGTGTCTAGATCATATAACATCTCCGAAACTGTGCTGGGATTTATTTCGGACCTTGACATCACAGAACAAATCAAACCACCAGTTTTATTCAGTAAAGAAAAACAACCCAAAAAGCAGCATTTTCTCTATGAAAACGGATATACGTCCATTTACTGCTGATCGAGTTTCATGAATGCCGAATTTGTCAGTCTTATATGGAAATCAAGACAATAAATTACGAGTGACAGCAGCAGGGAAGTAAATGATGGCGCCAGTCTTCTCAGTTAGTGCAAGTTTCAACAACAAACGTAGCATAAGTATGGTTTCAAGGACAAACTGAGCATAACTATTGTTTAAACGACAAACGGAGTATAACTATGGTTTAAATGACAAACCGATCATAACTATGGTTTAAACGACAAACCGAGCATAACTATGGTTTAAACAACAAACGGAGCATAACTATGGTTTAAACGACAAACCGAGCATAACTATAAAAACTGTGTACAATAAAAAAGCAACAACAGATTCCTTGCGTCATGCTACACGGTGGGAGAGCAGAAGAAAAGAACGATACATGACACAAACAATGGCAAAAACTCTGCTATTTTTTCTCTGCCAGTGGGCGGAGGAGCAGAATCTCGTCATGTGTAACAGACACGACACATTGTGACTTTTTGTCCTCATCATGTAGAACATCTCTGACTTCAGTGAACATATTCATGACCCAAAGATTTCTCTAACTTTCAGTCCAAGTAAAAATTTCTTTCTCAAGTGAAATAATTTGTTATCAGAGTAACTAAAATAAAAGTGGCGCAAAAAAAAAAAAAACCAACCTTCAAAGAACAAAAAGGAGAAGGAAGTTTTTAAAAAAACACAGCACTTTGAAACCTCAGTCGTAACCATTTCTTCTAATGGACAAAAGTGCATCTCAGATTTTTTTTTTCTTTTCTTGAAAGCATCAATTCCACTTATGCATACACACCCATAGCTTAGTTACTGTATCAAAAGAGAGACCAAAGTCTTTGTATTTACGAAATTCTTTATCAATGTTCAAATCACCTGGTGCTCCTGTGTTACGTAATAAAGAGAAGCAAAAAATCTCACGTGCTCACAGCAGAAAAAGAAAAAGTAGAAACGCAGGAGAAAAACCCACCCTCTTCCCTGCTGAAAGAGAGAAAGAAGAAAACGAACGTCAAATCAAACAACGTGGTCACGTCACGCAGCGGGCCAGAACTACCAGGTAACGTACAGACTGCGTACCACTACTCACAGCTCAGAGCGGGAAATGTGCATGCAAGTTTTGTAACACAGAATACACGCACATCGCTACCACAACATGCACTTTGGTACATTGGAAAGCGCACAGATCCTACTTTCCAGCACGGATAAACAACATATAAAATGCAATCTTTGTTGTTATTATCTTCAATCACATTATTGAAAAAAAATTCAAGTAAATTAATGCAAACACTATACTGGCATTCTGTGAACCCCAAAATAATAATTTTTTTTAGTCTGAAGGCGCACATCCACACAACAGTAGTCAGATCTCGCTGAGAGTAAGACATGACGATAGAGACAGAATACCAGAATGGTGGGGGGAAAAAAAAGAAAAAATTTTTCAGTGACATCACACAATCTGAAAATCATAAACCTTGCATACAAGATCATACACTTTTTTTAGAGAGTCTGAAACAATAGAGACACCAAGTAAAATCCACTACTAAACAACAATCCAAATGTCCTAAAACTTATCCAAAATGAAGTGCAACTTATTTACAGAAGACAGAAACAGCGCAAAAAGTATAAACCACTACAGGCACAGGAAGCATAAATTTACATCTTGCTAGAGAGAATATCTTAGTTCGGGAGCAAAGACAAATAAAAATCTTGGAAAGTTTCATTGTTTCAAAGAACAAAATTGCTACACAAGTGTGAGGGTCAAACCCCGACAACATAGAGCCAGGTGAGGAGAACAGTGCTGACAAACCGTCCTGTCCCTGACAAGACACACACAAAGACACTGAAGAAAGAATTCACGACTACCAGGAACACGACTACCAGGAATAATCACGACTCTTCGCAAAACATTTTAAGCCGTTACTTTTTCCTCCCCATATATTAGCCAGGACTTTTTGATCTTGCAAAAACCCTGACTGAAAAATACTGCAAGCATCAAGGCCAGCCCCAATCCAGCAATAGAGAACTTCCAAACTCAGTAAAGATCAAGATAAAACCTGTTCTCAATAAAGAACTTCCACATTCAGTAAAGATCAAGATAAAACCTGTTCTCAATAAAGAACTTCCACATTCAGTAAAGATCAAGATAAAACCTGTTCTCAATAGAGAACTTCCACATTCAGTAAAGATCAAGATAAAACCTGTTCTCAATAAAGAACTTCCACATTCAGTAAAGATCAAGATAAAACCTGTTCTCAATAGAGAACTTCCACATTCAGTAAAGATCAAGATAAAACCTGTTCTCAATAAAGAACTTCCAAATTCAGTAAAGATCAAGATAAAACCTGTTCTCAATAAAGAACTTCCAAATTCAGTAAAGATCAAGATAAAACCTTCTCTCAATAAAGAACTTCCAAATTCAGTAAAGATCAAGATAAAACCTGTTCTCAATAGAGAACTTCCACATTCAGTAAAGATCAAGATAAAACCTGTTCTCAAGAGAACTTCCACATTCAGTAAAGATCAAGATAAAACCTGTTCTCAATAGAGACATTCCACATTCAGTAAAGATCAAGATAAAACCTGTTCTCAATAGAGACATTCCACATTCAGTAAAGATCAAGATAAAACCTGTTCTCAATAAAGAACTTCCAAACTCAGTAAAGATCAAGATAAAACCTGTTCTCAATAAAGAACTTCCAAACTCAGTAAAGATCAAGATAAAACCTGTTCTCAATAAAGAACTTCCAAACTCAGTAAAGATCAAGATAAAACCTGTTCTCAATAAAGAAATTCCAAATTCAGTAAAGATCAAGATAAAACCTGTTCTCAATAAAGAACTTCCAAACTCAGTAAAGATCAAGATAAAACCTGTTCTCAATAAAGAACTTCCAAATTCAGTAAAGATCAAGATAAAACCTGTTCTCAATAAAGAAATTCCAAATTCAGTAAAGATCAAGATAAAACCTGTTCTCAATAGAGAAATTCCAAATTCAGTAAAGATCAAGATAAAACCTGTTCTTCACCTATCACAAAAAATAGCAACACCATAACATATTTGAAAAGTAAAAAAAAGTTCAAATGAGTTTGCTAAAAAAAAAGTCCTGCTACTTATTCTATAAAATTCTCTATAGATATGATAAGAATGACGAAAAAGCCAGCTTTATGACTAATGCACTCAAAAATGGACAGAGAGCAAGTGACGGACACTCTAGAAAAGACACTTCAAATCAAAATGGGTTCACAAAAAAAAAGAAATTAATCAAGGTTACCAAAAAGGAGGATAAGTCTTCTCATTTTCCGCCAATTTGTTGAGACTTTAAGCTTGATGAAATCATTCAATAAAAAGAAAAGAAAGCTGTAAAGGAATAGAGGGGGGGAAAAATAGGAAAAAAATGGGAGAAAAAAAAGCATGCCTTTCGAAAAAGAGACGTTTGTTGAGCATGCGGTAGTCAAAAGTAGTGACTGAACGTCACAACAAAAAGATGAGAGAACGGATCACTCTGACACAACATTATGTCCACGAGACAGTCAGGCGCTTTACCATTCGTCCAGAATTCTGGCGATCTCCGACTCTGACAGTGCATCAAAGTCGCTAAACGAAGGAGGAGGAGGCGGAGGGGGGTGGGAGTGGGGGGGTGGGGGTACAGAAAGTGGAAAACAAGGAAGGGTAGATTTAGTACCAATACTGACCAACATCTTTTGTTTCTGGTTTACTTCGGACCTCATGGAAACGTGCACGTGGGTTCTCATAATTGATGGATGTTGTCTACTACATCTTGTGTATCAAGCTTATTTTTATATAAAGTGCAATACTACACGCACAATGAGATTATATTAAATGAATAAATGTACAAGGAGGAATATATAACAACAGGTAAAACAAATTACACACACCTACTCCGAACAAATTCAGAGATCCGGATGACTGTCTGTCTGGAAAATTGGTGCCTCTGAGCATCTGATGTATGTTATCATGAGACCCACAGTTATCCCATCATGACTGCTCAGCGTATAAGCAACATTTGTCCTGACATAGCATAAGTTACCATAAAAGACATTCATCTCTCACAAATATTCGATCTGACAACTCTGTTGTAACAAAACTGACAAAGCTTATGAACATAAGTTTACCCGCGACAACTTACTCAAGGTCGGAGCCATCATAGCCAGAGTCAATGTATTGTAACAAAACTTATGAACGTAAGTTTATATCTTCAACTTTCCCCACAGCTTCGACACGACGCGACAACTTACTCAAGGTCGGAGCCATCGTAGTCCGAGTCGGAGTCATCATCGTCGTCGTCGTCCAGCAGCGTGTCTGAGGAAAGCGAGGCGCGGAGGTTGTGCTCGAACTGCTCCTCCTCCGACTCCTCCTCCTGCCCATCAAACGAGATCTCAAACTCCACACGCTCGGGCGTCTTCTTGGGCCGGTCCGTCACGTCCTTGGGCACCTGCAGGGGCGTCAGGTGCGACGCTGGACGGGGGAGAAGATGTATTTCACATGTGATGCATCATGATGAAATCAGGCGCTCGTCAAAATAATGAAATCCGAGAAATCTGCATTTTTCGGCCTGTTTGGGAAATGTTTTCGAATTCTCTTTTTTTGGCTCACTACCTTTATGTCCATTAAAAAACACATTTCTGTGTGGATGTAACAGAAAAACGGTGATTAAAGGCACAAAAATGTAAATTTTCAGTTTCCAACGACTCTCAAACTATGGAAGTTACCAAACTTTGGTGGCCATTTTCTCACTGATCTTACTTCTGAAATCAGATGACCCCCACCTCCTTCAATCACAAACATTTCCACTTCTATTCAAGATGGATGGATATTTTTTTAACCAAAAGCAAGGCAAATAAACTGGCTTTAAGATGAAACCAATAACTCCATGTGTCCAAAAATTGACGAGTGCCTGCTTCCACCGCGTCGTGACACATATATTATTGACAAGACTGGCCTGTCAGATTTACATTCCAACTTTACTTTCTTATCAAAAATATTTTTAAAGAATTATTTAAAACACAAAAATGTTAATTCCTGCCAAATGAAGTACTGCAATTAATTGTTTTTAGCATTTCACAGAGTTACAATATCCTAAGCAAAACAAAAAATAAACCATATTTTTTTCATCACCTTGGCTGTGAAGAATTCAGGAAAATCGTATAAACTTACGGGCTGTCTTTCTGGGAGACTTTTCCTTTGAGGCTTGACCAGTGTCCACATCTGGGGCAGGAGTGACCACTGTCTCTGGGATGTTTTCCTGTGACCCCAATACACAACACAACAAATGAAAATAGGAAAACAGAAGTCAACTTTCTGTGCTTTTCATAACTTAACTTCCACACTTGGAAAAACACTCTTGAAATGTTTTTGAGTACAATACTTCTTGGACACAAATCACACCCCTCAATTTGCTCAAGGCAATACAAGTTGAAGAGACAGTGGCAGTACTGGCACAGGCAATACATACAAGTTGAAGAGACAGTGGTAGTACTGGCACAGGCAATACAAGTTGAAGAGACAGTGGCAGTACTGGCATTGGCAATACAAGTTGAAGAGACAGTGGTAGCACTAGCAATCACAAGACGAGTATCGGAATTAAGTTCTTGGTTAGAGACAACAATACGTGTAGCAAATAGTCATCTCAAAGTAATAAAGCAATAACTGCACCACAATAAGACACTGTTAAGTAAACCAAAGATACTCTTCTTACCATTTTATCGAGGGAAATACATTGAACTGATACTACAAGATTGACTAAAAGTCATCATAAGTCAGTAAAAAGAATATGAAAAATATGTGGAGGTGGGAAAAAAACAGATCACAGAGTAGAAGAAGGAAGATAGTTCAGTTTAAGTAAGAGTTTTGTGGCACTTGCAACACAATAAGGTCATATAAGTGCCCAAGATTAGAGGTGTTACAAGAGAGTAACAAACACAAAAAAGGAGGAGAGATAAAGACAATAGATGTTTGATAGGAAAGAAGGAGCAAACCACACCAGAGCACCCGCCAACCACCCACGAAGAAAGACAACACCAAGATTGAAGTGCAGATGACGAAAAGAAGTAGGGAGGAAGAGGAAAAGGACGAGGAGAAGGAGAAAAAAGAAGGAAAAGATGACAAGAGCCTCCCAGCTCTCACCTTGAGCTCCTCCTCAAAGCCTCTCTTTCTCTGGAGTCTGGGCCGCTGCTCCTGCAGGGCGTGTCTGTAGCAGTAAAACTTGACTGGGAACAAAACAGTGGCCACGTTCACATCACATCACAGGTTAATATGGATCGCACAGGGTTTTTTTTTCATGAGTCTAAACTCAAATATATAATCCGTGCTGATGATGCTTAATACTCTCTATACGTTTTTGTAAGTATCATTACAGCTAAGTCTTTTCCTACACCTCTGTAAGTGTCATTGCAAGTAAGTCCCTTCCTTTGTCTCTCTAAGTCAGTGCTGATAGTGAGAAAAAGTCAAAAAAGAGGAAAATATTCCGACCCCGTTACAAAACCGAAATTTCAACATAGAACTCTTTAGCTTAGTTTTTTTAGTTTTAGTAGAAGTTTTACGGTGCTCGCAACTGCATAAGGTCATATGAGCGCCAGAAGATTTTAGAGGTGTTACAAGAGAGTAACAAACATTAAAAAGAAGAAGGGGAGATAAGGACGATAGAACTCTAATACTAACTACAATAATATAACACATACTTTTGTAGTAATATTTTGGAAACAACAACAAAAAAAAAGCGGAAATCCGCTGATTCGCAGAAAATTATCAGCACTTCTTAATGTCATTACAAATTTTTTTTTTTTTTTAAAGATAGTTTATAGCCTAACCCTTTGAGCCCTGGCTCACTGAACCTAAAAAGACCTGAGTATCAGTGGAAAACACCTCGGTTTACGCCCTCACACCGATGTGTGTGTACAGAAGGTGGGAAAGTAAAGGTGGTGTATGCTTGAAAACCTCCTGGTTATTTGCTTTTTATTCAGGAATAAAACCAGACAGTTTACAACAAAAACAATTTTCAAAATTTAGGAAGTTAACTTATCACAAGTAACTAAAGTGAATCAGTAAAAATAACCCAACTTTTTCAGACAAAAAAACCCAACACATTTACCCCAAAGTTGTCAACTGATAATACACAAATAAATTGAGGTGATCTCATAATTTAGTTCCTTGAAAAAGCAAATATATCATGCACAAAATAAAACAGCTTTCCAACCTTTCCACAGATGTAAACTCATTTAATATCTGATCCCAACTTCCCCACTCTCCACAGGTGCCTAAAATTAACGCCATTGAGACAAAATTCAGCGCCCTTCGACCCCAAGTCCCCCGTGTGATGTGAAGCCACTCACCTGGCACCACGTCTCTGTCGCAGGCGTAGTTGGAGAGTCGCAGGCCCACGCCGCAGTAGTCACAGCGGAAGCAGCTGCGGTGGAAGAACTCGCCCTCCGCGCTCATACGCTCCACGATGTACACGCGCTTGTGGCAGAAGCTGCAGAACTCACTCGCAGACGACGCTGCTAATAGGGCAGGCTGACCCCTCTGGGGACGGAATAAAGGATGGGTCAGTAATTATTGTTCAAGTTTTATTTATACACACACTCACCAAGTTTAGATCATTTACAAGGTGGGCTGCTTCGACCTGCATGTAACTTCACGCAGTCAGAAACTTCTCCGTCTATGTAAGTAAAAAAAATGAATACCCACACTGACATGATAGCCTCCATTAAGTGCTGGGAAAAAGTGAAACAGACAGACAGACAGACAGAGAGACAGAATGACAGAAGATAAGAAAAGAAGTAGCAACTACCAGTGGGACCTTCATCCTCTCAACAGTCAACAACTTGTTGCTTCATGTGTGGGCAGGAAGTGTTAACATAAAGACAACAGCAGGACTGTGTTAAGGCAAAAGCGAGTATGTAACACAGTCAAACTTATCCAAGACAACGATCATCTATTGTCGAAGAGAAAAAGTGCTCATCTTAGACAAGTGGTCCATCTTAGAGGTGTCATAAGATAATATACAAAAACCACAAGAGCAAGAGGGTAAGAGGGAAGTGGTTGTTTGTACAGGTGATTGTTTTGGACAGGTGGTCCTTAGAGAAGGTTTGACTGTATTTGATACACATATAGGAAAACTGTTGAGAAGAACTGAGATCACGTCAAGAACAAACATTTGTATCATGACGGGGTGGAATCATGCGCTTATCCATTTTTGGGCATGTGGTGTAATTGGTATTGTCTTAAAGCTTGTTCATTTGTCTTGCTTTAGATTTTTAAAAACATCCATCTATCAAGAACAGAAGTCAAGATATTTGCAGTTGAAGGAGGTGGGGTCGCCAGGCTTCAGAGGTAAAATTAGCGAGAAAAAGGCCATCAAAGTCTGGTGACATCCAAAACTGTATTCAGAAGAGACCGACGACTCTCACCACTTTGCGTATGGGTTCCGGCGGGGGCTGGTCCTGATAGCTCTTGAACTTTGCCACCAGGAGGTCAGCCATGGCCGTCACACTGACTGCTCCCATCATGTCTTCACTGGCCTTGCCGCCCTTGGCTTTGCTCGGCTCCGACCCCTTGCGGTCAAGCTGCAGCCGGTTGGCAATCTCCTCCATGGGCAGTTTGTTGTAGCGCATCAACTCCACCTCTCCTTTCTGGAAAAAAAACAAAACAAAAAAACAAGCTTGACATCAAATTACAAAACTACTTACTCCAGGTCACCGTGCAGGTGAGTTTTAACTTCCTTTTTCAGCACCGTGGAGGTCTTTAAAGTGGTTTGGATCAGTGTCTATTTGCTTGTTTTAGTAACGTTTTATGGCCCTTGCAACTGCATACGGTCAAATGAGCGACATGCTCCTCATTCCTTTGATGACTAACCAAAGTGGACAAAAAGTAATGAAATCACAAAGTACTAAAAAATATCCCGTGGGAAGGAGGGGGGTGGGGGGGTGGGGAGGGAGAGGAGAAGGGAAGTGGGAACAAAACCATAGCCACTCACCCAACCTAGAGCCCAGAACGACACATCAACAAAGTAATTGAACTCAGCAAAACTTCCAGAAGTATGTAAGACTGCCAGCATGTGTCAACATGTGTCTGTGTGTATCAGTGCATGTCTGTGCATGTCAATTTTTTGTCAGTGCGTCAGCATGTACCAGCATGCGTCAGCATGTACCAGCATGCGTCAGCATGTGTCTGTGTGTATCAGTGCATGTCTGTGTGTGTCAATTTGCCAGAGTGTCAGCACGTACCAGCTTGTGTCAGTTTGTGTCAGTCAGTACGTGTCATCATACATCTCCCCTGTAACTGACCTGAATGACCTCCTGTCTCTCCTTCAGCTTTTTGCTGGTCAGCGATGTCCTCTCCTCCCCCTCCTCCTGCTCCTTGCGCTGAGAAAATAACACGCAAGACATTACTTCACCAGCACAGAGGCTTGTTGTTGAAGTTTGGTTTGAAGTAAGAAAAGAATACCTACACAATAAAGCCATTATGGGCAAGAAAAGAATATGATACACACACAAAAACCACAAAGGGAAAGAATAATTGTAGAACCTACCAGAAGCAAAAGACAGAAATACAGACAATGAGAGAGAGAGAGGGGGAGGGAGGGAGAGAGAGACGGAGAGAGGGGGAGAGAGAGAGAGAGAGAGAGAGAGAGAGAGAGAGAGACGGAGAGAGAGAGAGAGAGAGACGGAGAGAGAGAGAGAGAGAGAGAGAGAGAGAGAGAGAGAGAGAGAGAGAGAGAGAGAGAAAGGAGAGGTAGAGAGAGAGAAAGGAGAGGTAGAGAGACAAACAGAGACAAAAAAAAACCCAGACACATAGAGAGAGAGAGAGAGAGAGAGAGAGAGAGAGAGAGAGAGAGAGAGAGAGAGAGAGACAGAGAGAGACAGAGAGAGAGAGAGAGAGAGAGAGAGAGAGAGAGAGAGAGAGAGAGAGAGAGAGAGAGAGAGAGACAGAGAGAGAGAGAGAGAGAGAGAGAGAGAGAGAGAGAAAAACAGAGACATATCCATGTATCCAGATGCCCAGAGCACTAACTCCCAGTGACAAAAGAACATAAAGAAACAAGAAACCAAAAACAAGCAACCAGAGAGACACGGGGACCCACTTTCTTGGACTTCGCCAGTTTGGCGCTGAGCTTCTGCAGGAAGGAGATCCTTCTGTTGGGAGAACGTGGGGACTTGGGGTTCTGGTCCCGGGCTACACTCTTCCTCTTGGCTTTGACGGGCGGTGGTATTGCTGGAGGAAAAAAAAAAGGAAGATTGTTAATGAGTGTGTGTCGTTCGAAGCTAATGGTCACACATAAGGAGAAAGAGGCTGGTTGTTATTTTAAATAAAAATGACAAGGAATGTCTTATATCATTGAGGGAAATTGGACAGTCAATACACATGCTTGATACTTCGTCAAAATGAGCACACTGTTAACTCTTTGACGACGTCATCAAAACGCTTAAAGACATGCAGTTTTAGGGTGCTTTAAAAAAAGAAGCATTTCATTATTCATACACTTTTCCATTCTGTTTTAAAATGACCATTAACACAAGGTAAAAAAATGAAATGTAAATCAGATTTTTAATTTGTGTAAGATGAGTCGAAATGTGCCACATTGCCTTTGGCGTACTGCTGATCGGTCGTATTTGTCCGCTACGTCTTCAAAGAGTTGAGGAAAGAATACCCCCAATTGTTGGGAATGCGTGGGGAAAAAAAGAAAGAAAAAAATAATTTTGCTGGATTTTTTAAATTTTAGGAATACCTGACTGTATTATATTGAAGATATACATGGGCTACACTTGCAAAGTTAATTCTCTTGAATAAACACAGTTCATCTCATCTCATGGGTTATACATCTGTGAGGCAGCGTAGTGAAATCAGGCGCTCGTCAAAATAATCAAAGTGAAGAAATGGCATTTTTCCCCAGGTTTGTGAATTTTTATCAAATTTTCGTTTTTTGGCCCAAAAACTTTCATGCCCATTAAAGAACATATTTCTGTGTGGATTTTTACTGAAAAACGTTGATTAAAGGCACAAAAAATTTAAATTTTCAGTTTCCATGGACACTTAAGCAAAGAAAATAACTCGTCTTCGGCGGCCATTTTCTCACTAAATTTAACTCTGAAACCAGGTGACCCCCACCTCTTTCATTCACAAATATCTCCACTTTTATTCAAGACAAATGGATATTTTCTAAATCCAAAGCAAGACAAATGAACAAGCTTTAAGATGATACAAATAACTCTACATGCCCCAAAATTGAGGAGAGCCTGATTCCACCACGCCGTGATACATCTATATATTCTGTCCCTTCACTCACAAGATGGCAAAGGCTGGTGTTTGAAGACCTCGTAGAACTGGGACAGGTAGGAGATCATGGTCAGTTTGTCGGGCAGTTCGTGCCGCGCCATGTCCTCTCCTGACATCACCGGCGGGATTCCCAGCTCACGCTCCGCGACGCTGAACGCCTGCAACCACGGGGAAACAGACAAAGACTCAGTAAAACTTTTCTTAATTTGTTGACCGCATTTAAAAAAAATTAATTAAAAATTTTTGGGGGGATATGGCTCAATCCCTTTCACTTTGTTATTCCCCCAAAGCCGCTACTTCAATATCTCAAGCAGTCTTTTTATGACAGCAAAAACTTAAGATCATTTTTCCAATAAAAAGGGGCAAAATGAACTATAGAAAAAAATAGCAAGCCAACATTATGAAAATAAATAACATTGATAATAATAACAATCAAATTCATATAGTGATAATCTATTAAAATCTATGAAAGTAATAAGCAGACCGAAGGGCTAGAACCCAAATGGCCGCTGGATCGGAAAAGTAAAGTAAAGTATGAAAGTAATCAGAGACAGAAAGTCTATTTCGATCTGTGATAATCAATTAATATCTATGAAAGTAATAAGAGACAGAGAGTCTATTTCGATCTGTGATAATCAATTAATATCTATGAAAGTAATAAGAGACAGAGAGTCTATTTCGATCTGTGATAATCAATTAATATCTATGAAAGTAATAAGAGACAGAGAGTCTATTTCGATCTGTGATAATCAATTAATATCTTTGAAAGTAATAAGAGACAGAGAGTCTATTTCGATCTGTGCAAACATATTGTTTTTTACACTGGATTTCTACAATGCACCAAGCATGGGTACACCTCAACAAATCTACCATGAATCTGGTCACATTTCCGCCTACACACAAGCTATGCTTAACTAGTCCCTGCTTTGCACAAGAGACCAACACAGAGAGACAGACGGACAACACAGAGAGACAGACGGACAACACAGAGAGACAGACAAGACAGGCAGACAGGAGACAAACAACACAGAGAGACAGACGGACAACACAGAGAGGCAGACAACACAGAAAGATAGACAGACAGACAGACAGACAGACAGACAGACAGACAGACAGACAGACAGACAGACAGACAGACAGACAGACTCACCAGTCTGTTGTTGGCCACAATGTCAAACTCCATCAGCATGCTATTGTCACTGGATGAAACAAAACAAAAAAAAACCTTCAGCAACACACAAACCCCAACAACTAATTGATAATAAACTAATAATACATTATGAGATGAACGAAACATTGCCATTAATCTTGTCACGAGCTTGTGAAAGTTCCATAAAGTTCCATTTCCTACACCCTGAGAGATAACACTTAAACTAAAGGTGCCTTAGGTATGGTAAAGTTCAGAAAGACATTAAACAAATATTTCGACTTCTATTCAACATAGATGGATTTTGTTTTCACCAAACGGAAGGAAAATGAATAGATTTTAAGATGATACCAATAACCCCATATGCCCAAAAATTGACGAGTGCCGGAGTCAAACCACGTCGTGACACATTTAGTTTATCAGGACACGCCAACTGCCTGCGCTAGTGCCGGAGTCACTCACATGATGGAGGGCTGGAAGGAGTGGATGAGAGCACACAGGGCTAGGCCGCTACGCCAGGAAGAAGTGAAGTCCACCACGTGTACGTCGCGGTACTTGCCCGTGTTGAGCACGCGCTGGCACCAGCGCAGCAGGCTGTAGCTGTCGATGCTCGGCTCCACTGCGGAGGGAAAAAATAAACATTTGTTTGGAGTCTAGTTTCAGTTTTAGTAAGAGTTTTAGGGCACTTGCAACACAATCAGCTCATATAAGTGCCGAAGATTAGAGGTGTTACAAGAGAGTAACAAACACAAAAAAGAAGGAGGGGAGATAAAGACGGTCGATGTTTGATAGGAAAGAAGAAGCAAACCACACCAGAGCACCCGCCAACCACCCATGCTGTGATGAAAGAAAGTAGAGAACAAAGAGACAAGAAACACAACGTGTTGCACAGAATTATAGTTTACCATGAGGTAATACAATAAAAATCACATTTCGGCAGATTTTGTCTTAGTGTTTCAGTTTCACAGTACTTGCAACACAATAGGGTTATATAGGAGCTGAAAATTAAAGGTGTTATAAGAGGGTAACAAACAAAAAAATGGAAGAAGGAAAAGGACGATAGATGTTGGGTAGGAAGGAAGAAGCAAACCACACAAGACCACCAGCCAACCACCCACTTACAATCCTTTAAAGTTTTTCTATAACCCATCCCGCCAACAACATGAAGGTCAGAAAAAGTGAAGTTTTCCCCTCACCATTTCTGGGTTTCTTGGAGGGAACGACGGCCGTGTCCTCCTCCTCCTCCTTCTCCACGACCCCGCCCTCGTACAGATGGGCCACCTGATGGGGCTTCACGCACTTGGTGTTCAGGTTCGGGTACCTGCACAGACAGAAGGTGATCAATATATAAATACATAAATGAATAAAATGTAAGTGTAACTTCTTCACGATCCCTTTGTGGTTTCTGTCCAGGGGGTTTTAAGAGCACTAAATAACCGTATTCATGTCAATGTGCTTCTTTTTGTTCAAAAACTTTAGTAAAGAATGAATGAATGATATGAATGAATGAATGAACGAATTAAAAAATTTCTTCCTCCTTTTCAGAGATTAATCTTGCAAGGGCACTGATGTCAAACAAATCCATGTTAGACATACAAATGTGCGACTGAAAACAAATCATAAAGTAATTTCAAATAAAATATATAATTGCTGGTCACTAGAATGCAACCCTGCTTTTGAGTCTTTGGATCAGAGAGAGGCATACTGGCAAAAAATGAAGTCTGAGCAGGACAACAGGACTATGTGATGATTAAGACAGCCTTGTAAAGAGAAGCTATATAGACAAAAATAGAAGAGGAACAGGAGAGAAGTAAGGACATCCTTCAGTCAGCGTCACAAAACCCCCATCACAATCCCGCCCACCTGGTGTTTGGGTCAATCACAGACTCACCTGGTGTTTGGGTCAACCACTGACTCACCTGGTGTTTGGGTCAACCACTGACTCACCTGGTGTTTGGGTCAACCACTGACTCACCTGGTGTTTGGGTCAACCACTGACTCACCTGGTGTTTGGGTCAACCACTGACTCACCTGGTGTTTGGGTCAACCACTGACTCACCTGGTGCTTGGGTCAACCACTCACTCACCTGGTGTTTGGGTCAACCACTCACTCACCTGGTGTTTGGGTCGATGCTGTACTGGCTGTGGTTCTTGTGCAGGTAGTTGGGTGTGGTCTGCGACAGGACGGTGTAGACGCTCTCTCTCTCCGCCAGCACCTGCGGGGGCGACCGACCCAGAGCCCAGCTGCGGATCATCCACGCCGTGTCAAAGGCGCCCAGGAAACCCCGCGCACACCCAGAGCCCGTGGGCCAGAAGGGCTAGAGGATGTGAAAAAGGGGAGAGCACATAAAAATTCAGCAAAAATGTTACAAGAAACAAACACATTGACAAATACAGTCAAACGTGCTCAGACAATCACCTGTACAAATCACCACTTCCCTCATACCCCCCCCCCCCCCCCCCCGTGGATGTTTTTTTGTTTTGTTTGTTTTAGTAAGGTTTTACGGCGCTCGCAAAACAATAAGATCATATAAGTGCTGAAGATTAGAGGTGTTACAAGAGAGTAACAAACACAAAAAAGAAGTAGGGGAGATAAAGACGATAGACATCTGATAGGAAAGAAGGAGCAAACCACATCAGAGCACCCGCCAACCACCCACAAATACAGTGGAACCTGCTCAAATGACCATCAGTACAAAGAACTATTCTAGACACATTCAAGCACACTTGTTTGTTTTTTTTGTTTTAGTAGAGGTTTTACGGCGCTCGCAACTGCATTAAGTCATGAGCGCCAAGGGCTGAAAGTCAACAGAGAAGTCCTTACAGGGAATCAGACTAAGTCTGCTCACCTCTCTAGCCTCAACACAACAAAGTCTGCTTCGACTATCACGGCACCCCGGAAATAGCGGGTCACAAGAGTGTGACAAACATACAAAAGAAGTAGAGGTAAATGACGATAGTAAGGATTAGGAAAGAAAAAGCAGCAGTTCCCTGTTGTAGTTCAGGCACAGTTATGAGCATGATATTGTTGGATCAGCCCACTAATTCTACTGTGCATTAGAACGAGAAATGTCCCGCCTTTGGGAATGGCCTACAGACACTTCAGTCAGTGGCACCGCCCCGGGGGGTTTCAATCACACTGTTAATTTATTCCAAAGGAGAATCGATAGAGTATAGCATACCTTATCTTACCTCAAGCAGGAGAAACCAGCAATTTAGTTTAGTTTTAGTAAGAGTTTTACGGCACTTGCAACACAATAAGGTCATATGAGCACCAGAAGATTAGAGGTGTTACAAGAGAGTAACAAACACGAAAAAGAAGGAGGGGAGATAAAGACGATAGATGCTTGATAGGAAAGAAGAAGCAAACCACACCAGAGCATCCGCCAACCACCCACGGTCATATCCAGAAATAGACAGACAGTAGTTATCCACAAGAGGCAGGGGTAGGCCAGGGGAAACATGGAGGAGATGTGTGGAAAGGGACATGAGAGAAATGAAGCTCGCTTGAAACGAGCTTGGAAGGATGGCTCAGGACAGAGATAAATGGAAGGAGCTTGTATGTGGTCTATACCCTGCCAGGGGTGAAAGGCATTGATGATGATGTTATCCACATGTCCTTTCCACCAACCAGATGTAATAACAACCACGTTTCCTCAGCAGCAAAAAGAGACGACAGGAATACCGTTAAAAAAGGAAATGTCACAGACTACATCAGTGTCCCCAACCATCTGCTTGAACTTCATGGACTGACCTGACCTGACCATCAATGATTTATTTATAGAGGCACCAGCCATCCATGTCCAGGTGCTGTTTTAGCCTCTTTTTCCTGTATTCGGATTAATAATATCTTTTTGCCAATTTATTGGTTCCGCTTCTATGTAACTTCATGGACTGTAGCAAACAGAAATGTAGACATCACACACAGAAAAGGAGGAATATATAACCATCTGAGTTTTATTAGGACCAAAAAGTTAGGGAAATTCAGCACATCTGGCGTCATTGGCTTAGTAGTTAGGCTCTCGGACTCGCAACCGTAAGGTCGTGGGTTCAAATCCCGTCAGGGGCCCGACGTTGTGTCCTTGGGAAAGGCAGTTTACATGACAAAAATAATTGTACCCAGCTATAGACAGTGAAAGATCTTGTCAGTATAAAATCAGCTGATTGCACTGTATACTTCCTCGGAAGCTGAGAATGTTTCTGAGTGTTCTATGGTCTGCTGGGGTAATAATATAGTGTAAAGTGCACAGAGCTTGCTATAGAGCAGGGTTATGCGCTATATAAATGCTATTTATTATTATTAATTACTGAACCTTCTAGGAATGTGTGACAAGGTCCCCCCAACCCTCCGCCCCACCCCCCCAACACTATGAGTCCCATCAACTCACCTCTAACAGACTGTCTCCGACAAGGCTCATGAGCAGGTGATGACCGTTTTTCAAGATAAATCTGGAAGCATTCTCCGCGGCAAACATGGAGGTGAAGTCAAACATAGCCACGTCGGCCTGCCCATAGTGGTTCACCGCATAGTCCAAGGTCGGCAGCTGCTGATTGGTGGAGAAGTTGGCCGCCTCTCGGGCAAAGCCCATCAGGGCCTCCTGGTTCACGTTGGAGCGGTCCAGCAGGGCCACTGTGTCCGAGAAATCCTGGGGGGGGGGGAATACAGATAGGTACAAGGGTCATAGGTCATGCTTGAAACAGTGGACAGGGGGAATACAGAGAGTTCAGTTTTAGTTTTAGTAAGAGTTTTATGGCACTTGCAACACAATAAGGTCACATAAGTGTCAAAAAATATAAGTGTTACAAGAGAGTAACATACACAACAAAAAAAGGAGGAGCAATCAGGACGATAGATGTTTGATAGGAAAGAAGGAGCAAACCACACCAGAGCGCCCGCTAACCATCCACAAACACAAAGAGGTCACAGGTTACACTTGAAGCGAGAACGAGGAAGAAGAAGTAGACACTTGAATCAGTGGACGGGGGGTTTACAGAGAGTTCTCTTAATTCCATGGCACTTGCAACACAATAGCGTTGCAGAAGTCATGAAGATTAGAGGTGTTACAAGAGAGTAACAAACACTACAGAAAATGGAGGAGAGATCAGGACGATAGATGTTTGTTTGATAGGAAAGAAAAAGGAGAGGTTCCTCCTATGTTGTTCCGGCACAGTATGAGCATGACATTGATTAGTCAGCCCATTTATAATTCTACTGTGCATAAGAACATGTTAATATCCCCCCTTTGGGAATGGCCTAAAGGCACTAGAAAAGAAAGAGGAAGCATAACGGTGATAGATGTTTGTTTGATCGGAAAGAAAGAGGAGAGATAAGGGTGATAGATGTTTGTTTCATAGAGAGTCGCTCGAATTTCAGTCACCCACCTCCTTGAGCACGCCCTTCTCCAGCAGACTGGCCTTCTTGGCAGTCATGTGACCTTATGCAGTAGCAAACACAGTAAAAGCTTACTAAAACAACAAACACAAAAAAAAGGAGGAAAAATATTTTGTTCGTTTTAATAGAGGTTTGACGGCGCTCGCAACTGCATAAGGTCATATGAGTGCCAAGGAGGAAAGATAAGGACACGTTCGTTTGTAAGAAAAAAAGAGGAGAGATAAGGACGACAGATGCTTGTCTGATAGGGAGTCCCCCTCAGCACGGGTGTGGGTCACCCACCTCCTTGAGCACGCCTTTCTCCAGCAGACTGGCCTTCTTAGCTGTCATGACGAAGTAGTGGGTGTCGTCCTTGTAGTACACGATGTTCTCAAGGTCAATGCGCGTGCTCTCCTTGAGGTCCAGGAAGAACTTCTGGTTGAAGATGAAGGCCACGCCGCTGATCTCCTCCACGCGAGCCTCCGCCTGGGTGTTGCGGTTGATGAAGTTGGCCGTGATCGCAATCGCCAGCTTGCCTCGGAACTCTTTGCGCTTAAAACCTGTTGGAGAAAATGTCCGCCACTTTGTGAAATAACCTCTCAGTGTTGCGAGGAGCGTTTAGGTTAGTTTTAGTAAGAGTTTTACGGCACTTGCAACACAATAAGGACATATAAGTGCCGAAGATTAGAGGTGTTACAAGAGAGTAACAAACACAAAAAAGAAGGACGAGAGGTCAGGACGATAGATGTTTGATAGGAAAGAAGGAGCAAATCACACCAGAGTACCCATCAACCACCCACGCGAGGAGTGTGTAAGCCAATATAATTTCCCAAGTTGGCAGAATATGTAAGATTCCCCCTTCCCTCTCTGTCTCACACACACACACACACACACACACACACAC